AGATCATGATTGCTGCAGAAAATTTCGTAAAAACTTCGTAAAAAGATATTAAGTTTCCGATGCGATGTTACGTCAAACTAAATGTCAGTATATAAACCTGTTTCCCATTCCAATTGCGAAAGATATAAAAAAAAAAGTTGGCGATATATAAACATATTTTTAGCTCGATACATTGCGCGTATGGCCAATACACACGAGATAGATTTACATTTTAATCTCGCCGGAAAAATAGTATTAGTTATAAAATCGACACCGTACGCGGTATTCACAAAGAGCAAAAACAACGGTAAAATAAAAAGTAAAAGGAAGACGCTCCTGTTGTTTGTCAAGAGCTCTCGCACGAGAAAAGCTTCTCGGTTCGTGCTTATTACACCTTTGTAAATAAATAGCCCTCAACTAGAGCTCGATCGACGTCGTTCAATCACATCGCGCCTTTTCTCATCGTGTAATTTGCTCGACATGTCTCGAACCGTAAATACACACGCGATGTTTTAATGGACTTGATCCTCTTCGATCGGAAGATGCGATCCTCCGGCGAGTACTTTTCGAAAAAGTTTTTACGCTTCGCCATGATGGTTTTCAAGTTATTACTTCTACGATTATTCGACATAAAAATATCTAGTTTAGTTAAGTGTAAAACAATGTCGGACAGTGTAAGCGGATTTTAACGAAACTTTCCGAAAAAGAAATTCTCATCAGGGTAACATAATTACAAATGTTCCTTTCCATTTGTCGCGCAAAATTATATGGTACATGCTAATTATATGGTACATGCTGTACCGTATTTAATACTTATAATGTAATATAAGGTTCATTCTAATTTCAAAATTCATGCAACTCGCATTAATAATCTAATAATTGTAGAACGTGCAGTACGAACCTTAAACGCGTTTTCTATATTATTATAAATTTTGTCCTATTTAATTCTGTTTTATAATATCGACATCTGTTACAGGAATGAAAATTCAGAATAAAAATTAAACGTAAGTATAGTCGTATCTTATACTTGTATATATTCATTGTGCGTTACGTTTAATTTTCATTCTGAATTTTTATTTTCAAAATTTAATATTTATACCTATTCCTAACATCTCCTCCATTGTGCGCGGGGCCTTAAGAAATAGAAAAGTCTACGCGCGTGAAATTTTTAAACGAAACATCTATACTTTCCTTCCCCTTCGCCATATTCGATTTGCTATCACTATTTTTTCCAACCCTTCGATCTCTCACATTTGATTCAAACGAGTCGAACGAATGAAATCTGTGAAAAGAAACGAGAAAAGAAAAGAAAACGGACACTCACTCGAGCAGATGAACGTAGAATAGAACGACGCCGGGCAAGACGAGGTCGTCGCTGCCGACCCTCCATCGTCTGCTGAACGCGATCAAGCCCGGCATCCCGTGGCGTCGCAAACAACGACGACATAACCTATGCACGCACGCACGCACGCACGCGCGCGAATCGGATGAGTACGGCCGAGTACACTGACCGACCGATCGACCGACCGGCAAAGAGCGGGAACGCAAAGTGAAAAAGACGAACGAACGGACGGATAAGTCGGACTGGACCGAACCAATCAGCTGCCGGAATCATGCTGAAACGTGGAAACGTGGAAACGCGGAAACGTGGAACGATGTCATATGAAATATGAAATTGCACAACACGAAATTCCTAAACAAACCAAAATATCAAATTAAAAGGCATCAGAGTTAACGTTGCTCGGTTGGATTCTCGTATACGTATAATAATATTCGTAAGTTACATCGATCTTTTTAAATGTTTTTACAAGTTAAAATTAGAGCAGGCACGAGCGGAACGCGTGGAACATAATTTGATTTTGTGTTACTCAAGAAGCAAATAAAAGCAAAACAAAGGGAAACTCTCATTAGCAATGATTTTTAAAAAGATTATTAATGTACGGATTATAGCGAAACATTGTCTAACGTTGTCAAGGAATCAAGTTTCTAACGAACGATACTTTAGTCGTGACGTATCGAGCGATAATCACGATTACGCGACCGATGAAAATAAAAATGGATGATCCTTTCCTTGCGTTCATTTATTTTTTCTCATCGCGATTCCTCGAACAAATCAAAATTGCAATTCAAGATCACGAAAAATATTACGAAAAGATCAGATCGACAAAGATTCGATCGGTTTAGATTTTACTTGAAGGAAAAATAAAATTATCGATATTATTTTGCAATTATTTTACAGGCGGCGCTACTCGTCGCGAACGAGCTGTGCGAGAAGCGATTGTCGATCATGTCGCTAATAATACACGGGAAAAGTGTTCTCGCGCGACCGACTTTTCTTGAAAAACAATGACCGGCATCGCATGGAAAATGCATGTAGAAAATAAAAGCCAATCTTTCGGAAACACCTTGTCGAACTGAATAACAGTCAGATTTGCAATCTTTTGTGAGTTTTATAGCTTTACATGAAAGTAGATATTTTTGAATTAATAAAACTTTTATTTTTTCTGATTGAAAATTGAAAACTGCTTTTTCTGGTTTCTGGTTTCTACAGATCTTTTGTCTTTTTTGTAAAATAAAAATATTTTTTAACTTATTTCTAAATTTTTTAAACATAAACTTAACATAATATTATATTATTGTGACTATTTTGCTAATATCATCCATTTAAAATCGACATATACAAGAAAATGTGTTTACATCTCTTATTTGATCACTTCTTGAGACTCGCAATTTAGGTGTACGTTTATTATTAAACGTAAAACACAAACACTGCAGTATTTGTTAACGATTAGCTGTTTTTATCCAACGCGTGTGATGTCTATTCGTATTATCGATTGCGATATCTCCATTCTGAAATCAAGGAGTCCGCATGCCCGTTACGAGAGAGACACGTGAGAAATATTTGATACAGTGCTCATTTGAGAATGACATAGGAGACACGAGGAGATCTGTAATCCATGCGTTTACACACAACAAACTCTGAAAATAACAATCCAATACCCCGTTCCAAGAATAATCAAGGCCGCGCTCGCACTCTTGAAAATGATCCCCCGTTCATACGCGGTGTATCACTATTTTTGCGCTCGTTCGCTCGTTGCCACAAGCGCAATTTCAAAGCCGTCGGCATGCTAATGGGCAGAATTGCGATACACAGAATTGCGATACGAGACTCGAAACATGTACGCGAATCGCGAATTCTCGAGCTTATATCCGAGTATCATGAGCTCGTGCTAAATAGCGCGCGTGTAGAATTGTTTGGAGGAGCCAGCACGTACATATGTATACCGCAGACAAGCGAATTAAATTTAAAGTACATATCTTCTGTATGCACAGGATGTTTGGAAGATAAGGAAAACCAAACACTCACAAGCGAATTCCCGCAGCAATTTCGAATTGATTGTCTTTGGCAAAAATCTAGAGATATGAGTTATTTTTAAGTTACACGCGACTCTGGTCATGCTTCGCGCAATATAAATTTCAAATAAAAATAAAGCTCTTCCATTCGAATTTCCCCATGCAACATTAGTTTAAAAAAATTTAATTTAAAAATGTAAACATTGTTGAAAACGTTTCACGCTTCTTTTTCTATTCTAATTTAAAATTCTGCTTTTGAGCAAATTTCATCTGTATTTATATTTCAGGAGGATGGTAGAAGCTTTAGATTCATGGATTATGCTACGTACCAGTGCAATATCGATGCAAGTTCCTGGTATACTAGATATTGATATTCGCGCAATCAATTAGCAGATCGTAACGGAAGTGAATTGAATGGAATCCACGAACGAGTTCCTAATTGACATACGTAAAATATCGAATATATAGGTCGACTTCGAGACCCCTTCGAAGCTGAAATATGTTAGGTAACGTTCGTTAATCCTCAAGAGATAAGACAAAAAATAGTCTAATAAAAATAAATTTTTGAGAACCGATAGATCTAACAAATAAAATACAGATATGATATTTCATTACAGTACGTGTATCAGACACGATGTTAATTGGCTAAATAATCAAATGCAAAAAATCTTTTCTGTGAGCAAAGCCTGTAGAGAAAATTAATTAATAAAGTCCGCATATAAACGCAAATAATTTTAATATATTGAAAATCTTAATTTAAAGTATAAGTATTTAATATTAAACAGGAAATTGTTATGATAGAATAAAATATCGTCTCTCAAAAATTTCTCTAAAATCAACTTTTGATTCCTCAAAGGATTTGTTAAAATGTTAAATGTTTGTTAAAAAGTCTAAGTATCAGTCCACAATAGGTGATTTAAGCTTTAAGAAGTAAGAAATTGACCAATTATAATCGAATATGAAAAGAATAATCGACTATGATTGGTCAATTTCTTACGGCTTAAAGATTAAATACTTATTGTGGACCGACACTAATACATGTTAAACAACGCTTCAAAGTTTGAGGAATATACTTGAATGTAATTCAAGGATAATTATATGTGGATATAATTATGTGAGAGATAATTTTGCAATTAAAACTTGCAATATAAGTTGTATGATAGACGCATATAGATAGACACTTTAATAATTGAATATGATATTCTCAACCTGTGTCAATTACTTAAAGTATGTATATTTTTTCACAAGAATTTCTGATATATTGTGCACAGTCTAATAAGACATACTTATGAATATGTGCATCTGGTTTAGTGTGATTTAAATTTGAATAGTGAATAAATTTAAATTTATAATAAATGACCTAACATATGACCTTTCGATTACGTAAAAATCGCTTAAATATATTATAAATATAGGAAGTAATAAGTTTTAGACTAGTAGATAGATCAATAACGTTACGCGAAATCGAAACTTATACAAAAATTATTTATTCTTATTTTTTATTTTAATAAAATGATAAGGAAAATTGTTTTGTATACAATTATATATAACATCGTACATACAATTATATATTTACCAAAATATTCCGAGCTTCTGCTTCGTTTTTACTCGATATTACGATTTACTCCTTTTATCGCTATTTCATTTGGCAATTTGATTCCACTCACCATATGAGATGCAGGATGAAGAGGAAAGCGCCAGGCACGACGAGGTCGTCGCTGCCGACGCTCCAGCGTCGTCGGAATACCACGATACCAGGCATCTCGCGTCGCGTCGTCGTCGCCACCTTCGTCGTCGTCGTCTTCCATCCAACAAACTGGCGATCGCGAATCCACTTCACACGCGAATCACCGCGCGACTCGCCCGATTTGTCTGGCGAACGCGGTAAGTAAACAGCGACGACCGACGACGACGCCGACGTCGGCGTCGCGCGCCACGCCGACGAGCGCACTGACAGCTGTAATCGTGACTCTTCTTATCGCGTTCGTTGTCCATTCTTCAGCGGCCGTACTGACGACGCTACTTGTCGTCGAGACGACTTCCTCTTGGCTATCACCAACGGCGTGCCGATGAGCGACGCGACGCCGCATCGCGCCGCTCGGCACGATAATCCTTGCCTGGTATTCACTCTTATTCACCGATAATATCACCGACGATTACGGAAATGGTTAATCGAGATACGAGATTGCCCGCTCTACGTATTATATACTTCGACGTCCTCCAGAAAGATTTTTATGGAAGTTCGATTCCTGTAGGGATGAATGGCGCACTATAGTTGAACTTGCACGAAATTGATTTTGTGATACCTTTATTCCACGTAAATCCTTTTATTTCGTCCTAAGGCTTAATCTTTAGAGAACGTCCGCTTATAATACGTAATATCGTCAACAACATTGTTTTGAAAACAATGTTCGGTAAACAGCGAACGAAGAAAACGCTTTCGGCTATTCCGACTGTAAAATAGCAAATTAAATTGTCCAAGCTTCGTCTGCGAAGGAAACGCGAAGAAGAAAACGGTACGATGCGAGCTTCCGTTCGCCGTACCTCAAAGAGGTCAGAGAGTTGTGCCGTTTGCATTTAAAGAGTTAAGTCTCTCTGAATTGTGTAGGAGAAACTTCCTGTCAGAGTAGCGAAGCTGCTATCTCTCTCCTTTTCTCTTTCTCTCGCTCTCCTTCTTTTTCTCGTAAATCACGATACGAAAGCACGTTCTGTTCGCCATTCTCCCCGTCATTCACGTTTGACTTTTATGAATGGACGTATGTTGTAAAATGTAACGAGCGCTGCGTGCGCGAGATATGACAGTCTCCATGTAACAATTTTTACGATATAAAATGAACGTCATATCGAGTACATATAATCAGGGATATCGATTAGAGTAGCGTGGATAGAAACGACGTAAAATTTTGATGTAAAATACTCAATGAACTTTAATGTATCATCGCTCGTAAATGTACGTTGAATTGACGTTTTATACTTGCGTTTTATCCGTGAAAGAAAATATTTGCTGTTGAAATTGTTGAATTTAAAATTATCGAGTTCGTTTTTCCGCGACTTTCGCTTTACGTCACGTATCTATTGCATTAGTATTAATCAAATAACAATGTAATAATTTTTCCTTTAAAAAGTCGTAATGAAATCCAAAATAAATTCCAAATTCTTTGTGTCTTTGCCTCATATATTTAACGAAGCATGTCGCAGTTTCACACAATTTCAACTGCGAAACTTTGTCGACGGCGGCAAATTTTGTATGCCGTAATGAACAAAAGTTACGAAAATTTACTTCTTGTTATTCTCGTTTCCGCAAAATAGTCTAAAACCCGACGAAGTTTAAAAAAAAAACATAGTCAATAGTAAAAACGATATTTGAAAAATGAAAACATGCACAATTATTCGTTCGTCAGCGTGTGTTGAGCGGCAAATCAAAGGAAAATATCATAAATACAGAATAACTGGTCGAAAAGATTTAGCTTATTAGTCTCGGCTAGGTCACGAGTTCTTCGACTTAAAGTCACCCACGTGAATGAAATCATATGAATAGGAGGAATTTATCGTATCAAATTAAATCAAATGTACTGCTGATGAAGACAAGAAAAATACACGGAGACCGTCTACACGTAAACGTAATGCTAATTTGTCGAGCCTACGCGTGTGTGAATATAATCGATATCGTCTAATTAAATTATCGTTTGTCGGCGAACGATCGCGGACATGTCACACGTGAATTATGAACCGATGAATTTATCTTTGGTCTCACATTATTTTTCTATATTATTGTTGCAAATTGTTATCACGCTGTCATTTATCTTTGGTGACGTAACCCGTACTTTGAAATACAATGGATTTCGACGAAACGCGTCATTTGTCTCCCCAAGGATTTTATTTTGAAAAACTAAAATTAGATCGACTTTTTTTTGAAATTCTTTACTATTTACGCTGTACAAATCGCACATTTATTACATATACTAATACGCCCCGTGCGCCATTTGGATAAAATTAATAGCTACATCAGTCGAGCTTAAAGAATGATATAATTAAGAAAAATAATTACGAATTAATAAAATTTCCAAGATCAAATTTTATGACAGACTAACAACATAATTATATTAATTGAAGAATAATAACATTTTTAAATTCAATTATCACCTTAATTTAATGCAGTGATAAGTAAATTCGATAGATATTCGTGAATATATTTAAAAATGGAAAGTAATATATTTTCTAATCAAGTGATATCCAAATAATTTCCAAATAATTCCCATTAACATGTAAGTTATTTTTCCTACGATTTTTATATTCTACTCAGGCGATACTCTTAATTTCGATGATGGCTTTTAAATCCCTTTCCGCTTTTGAAACCGAGATGATGCGGTGATGTTTTAGAGCAGGACGTGCTTACTGCGTGAACAACGACGTCGTGCTAGAGGTGACGCTCGGCGTCGCGTCAGTTCCGTCAGCCAGCCGATTGCACGCGTCTCTTTATCCCCTTCCAAATGTACTTCCTTACGCGGATACCTTCTCGAGAGCACGCTTCCTACGTGTTCCCTCGTAAAACGTAAGAGAGCAGTGCTACGTTTCGCATGACGACGACGCAAGTTATAAAATCATTGGACAACTTTGTTCATTTTTCCTCTCTCTCTCTCTCTCTCTCTCTCTCTCTCTCCCTCTCAGTCTATCGAGACGCTATTGAAATTCACGACGAAAGAGAACGGTAGAACGACCGCTACCGGGTCCGGAATCGCCCCGGAGCTCCACGTCTCCTCGATGTCATATTCCGTCTGACTCTCTCCTCTTTAAATTGGATATCGAAGGCCACTGAGAGCTATCGCGTACGCTACCGGCCACGTGCCGAGGGCGCGTAATCACGACGCGTCCGCGCCACCACCGCGAGAGGAGCACATCTTGGAGAACCGACGAGCGACGAGACACATCGAATCAAACCACCCCGAGGCGACTGAGCCGTGCCGACTCCGAGGTGGCACTCGAGACGAACCCCCCCTCCCCCCTCCTTGCCACCGATCCCCTCCGTCGCGGTGGCGACGCCGAGGCGCGCTTGCGTCCCGACGCCGAACGTCGTTGCACCCCAGGGACGTTTTTCTGTCTCTTCTTTACACACGTGCGCGCTTTCGTTTCTTCTTTTATCTTCTTTTTCTTTGATTTATCTGCGGTTGCTGAAATGCAAAATTCCGCAACTCAACTTAAATGATTTATTATTTAACACATCATTTACTTCATAGTGGTGATTAAATAATTTTTCGTTTGTTAATTTATCTTGTTCCGTTGATTTGTCTCTCTTCTTGAATATTGGATATGATTACAGAGTGATGTAGAAAAAAATAAATGATTTGTTATTATCAATCTTGACTAATTTAATGAAGGAGAGGAATTAGAAAATTATATTATTTATTAATTAATTATAATAATTGTGATATCAGAGACACACACACACACACACTAAGTAACGTTTACTGAATTATTTTTTCATTTTATTATTACTAAAAAATGTTATGAAATTCTTTTAATGCTCATTCTGGATTTTTAAATCTGATATTAATGGCATTCTTTCAGAGATATCCCTTAACACTCAAATTATTTAATACATAACTATAACTAATACAGCACATAATTATTTATGTAGATTTCTTCTAGCAGGAAAAATCTATCGTAGGTATCATAGGTAGAATACAATTATATATAATTATACGTAATCACAAGCGTGAATAATCAAGCACTTCTATTTCAGTATCCCTTTCAGTATCCTCTTATCGCACACATTTGATTTATGGACGATTCATCAAATCTCCTTTAAAGAATCTTAAAATCATTATTTGATTCATAATCATATCTAGATTTATTAATAAGTAATCGCGCTTGTACAACATTTAAACCTATCTTTTATGGGGTAGTTATAAAGATCATACGTATTTCATAAAAAATAATTCGTCATTTCAAATCTTTTAAAAATTAAATAATATGTTAAATATATCAATAGCCCCAATTATGACAATTGCTTTTATAGAATAAGTTTTTAATCGTAACACGATTTAAAATATCTTTATAATACTTTCCAATATATATTATAATCTTACTAATGCGACTGTAAAGTTTTATTCCTTTATTCAACATCAAGAAATTATTTTACTTTCACAAAATTTTTTATTTAATAAAATTATCAAAACGAATGATCTCCAAGGAAAGTAACGATTGTATTACATTTCTATTAAAGAATCAATTGCAGTTTAATTAAAGAACCGTAAAGTGGACCGATAATCCATTTAAATCCCACGATAAGAAAGTTAATTATGTTCGTTCGAGATCGATCGTTTCTTGGAATAGAAACGTAGAATGATACGTGAGCAACGTTTTGGGAAAAAACGGTAATTCATTTCTCTCGAGGGAAACGACCGCCACCGTGTCGAAAAGTCCCATGCGACGCAAGAGTTGAAGACGTATCCTGATAAGATTATCTTTGCCCGAATCGATCGACGAAATATGGCGACCATTCGCCAATGCGAAAATTATCATGACCTTTTTTTTAAAAACCGACCAATCTTTTTATTTCTCAGTCCATTGTTCTTGGGATTTAGGCCGATTGTACTGACGTCAGTTAATTAAAATTCTCCTCTCTGTTTCCTTATTAACCGGGACTATATTTTACAATGGGAAACGGACGTTGACGGGATTGTAATTTACGAACGGATGAACATTATCCTTTTCCAATTCAAAATATAGATTAATTAAAAACGTGAAATGAGTTTTCGTTATTTAAAAAAATAGCATCTTGTATCATGCATGTGACATTCTAATTTCGAACATTTTTACTCATTGAGAGTCAATTAAAGCTTGAATTCAAAATTCACCAAAGAATAGTTGGAGCTAAACAATTATATTTGTTTCTATATCTCAGTTTGCAAGAAACCATTTTCATTTGCGAAATTATGTTTATATTTCACATCGCGGTAGTCAATACGCATCATAAAGCGATCTATCGGTTAAATTTATGTGCGAACTATATTAAAATATACTCCGGGAATACTGCGAACGAGCGAAAATAAATGCATCGTGGCAGGTGTTCGCTTGGATCTATCTTTAGTATCTACATTCGGTAGGTAACTTTCCAGATCAATAAAAATATCCACGTATTTTCAAATGTTTATTTAACAATCTGAAAATATCGAGATTACTGTAACTGGAAATCTCAAATCTCGTTTGTAAAGATCAATAAAATGTTTTGACCCTTATATATTTTCTGAGTGACAATTACAATGTTTTATATAAAGATAATTTATTTCAAAAATATTCTTTTACAATATGACAAACCCATACGGCTAATACCCGTCTTCTTGAATATTTATATTCATATTCATTTTCCAGTTTTATCATTTACAACAAATAACATTTTGTATTCTTTAGTATTTATATCTGAATTCCGACTGTAATTTATATTTATATTGTAAAATACAAAATATTACATAATTATAGTAAAAATTTGCAAACCTATTATCTTAATTCCTCGCTTGATCATAGTTTTTCATGTACCAATCAACAGTCTCTTTAATCGCTTGTTCAAAAGGCGTAAACTGAAAATCGGGCAAATACTTTCGTAACTTTGCATTGCTTGCCGTTTTCTTGTACTGTCCATCTGCTGCCGACGTATCATAAACCACCTTTCCTTTAAAATTGAAAGTTCGTACTAACGTCTCGGCCACTTGCGATATCGATTTCTCTTGCGCCTCATCCACTGAAAATTATTATTTTTCTTTCACAATTTATTAACAATGAAATTAATCGCAAACATTGATAAACATCGGGATTAATTTAAAAGAAAATATTACAGATATAACGATTTAAAAAACGATAATTACCTGACAATATAATTGGTTCCACAGAATCATATTCCCGTAGTACCCAAACTATTAACTTTGCTAAGTCTATGCTATAGATAAATTGCCTTAAGGGCTTGCCAGAGCCCAGTACAGTAAATACTTTATCTTCTCTATTTCCTCCTGATAGAAAACACAGTAATTCAATAATAGATTCAAATCATGCTTATGTACAAATCTTCATACCATTTTTGCACAAATCATATAGTCTTCGCATCAAGCCAGGTATTACGTGACTAGCACTGGAATGAAAATTATCATGTGGACCAAACACATTGCAAGGAATTACACTGGTATACAATCTGCCGTGCTGATCGTAATAACCTCTATTAGCAATATCTATAAGTCGCTTGGCATAACTGTAACCATAATTTGAAGGATGTGGTGGTCCATTGTGAACCTAAAGTATATATATAAAACTGATTTATATATATTTATTGATTATAAAAGCCAGAGTATCCAATATATTACCATAGTTTCATCAATGGGATAAGATGTCTTATCGGGAAATATACAAGTGGAAAGACACGAAACAACTTTCACAACATTGTGCTCATGAGCAGCTTGCAGAACGTTATCATTCATATGTATATTATTTCTCTGTGATAAAAAATAAAAATAACATTAAAATTATGATTAAATTGAAATTAAATACTAAGATGTACACAAACATAGAAGATATTTTTTTAGATTTACCAAGAAATCTAAATTATGTGACATATTGTGGAAAAGCCCACCGACCATGGCAGCCAAGTGAATAACATGTGTCGGTTTGTGGTAATCGAATAACCTCTGTGTACTTTCTTTATCGCTACAAAAATCATGTTAAAATAAATACAGAATAAATGTTACATTTTATTATCTCGCTAGTAACTCAATTAATTTAATCTTAGTTGTTAAATATATAATAATCATTTAATTTAACCTACCATAAATCCGCATTTTTAGATCCAATAAATATCCATTTCTCGTTTTCTCTTTTATCGTGCTCGATAACATTTTGAATGGCTCTGCCAACAAGTCCTGTACCACCAGTTACAAGCACAACATTCATGTCGCGTCGTGAAAATCTGTCAGATTCTGTCATAACTGAATCACCAAATAGTACAGTAGCAATCAGTAATGAAAAAGCGCCCTCATCGAAAGGCATTGTGTTAGCAATATTTTTATTATTATTATTTAATTTGTCGGTTGGACTTTGTCTCAGAAGTTCATATATGACATAATTCCTAATATCATTTATATGAAATTAAGGACAAAAAAATCATTTCCATACACAATTATTTATCAGAAATTGATACATCTTATATTTACCACAGAGAACGTTCAATCGTAATAATTTAACAATCGATCAGTCTTAGTTTCCGTCTTCGAATGATCGATATAAAGCAAATCATTAAAAAGAAAAACATATAGCAATTATTTATCTCATGACGCATCAACGATATATCAATTTATTATTCACGATGTTTGAGGTAAATAAGAATGACATGATTATTAAGAATTTCTTTATTTTCCATGTTTCCTTCTAAAAAATAGAGATCAGTTTGCTCAGCAAACAAAGACTCATGTAACTCTGAACTATTGAGATACTATATGACAACTTAAAACTGCTTAATTAGACTTATTTATTATTAGATTTGGACTTTTGATTATATTTTGGTTCGAATAAAATTAAAAAAAAGTTTATACGTGAAATAATATTAACCTTTTTTCTTGGGATATCAAGAAAATAGCTGAATAATATTACAGCAGATATAGAATAGAAAATATAAATTAAATACAAATGAAGTAATGGTCCACAATTATCACTAAATCTAATAAACATTTTAATGAGCGATCACTTTAATAAGTGAACATTTTAATGACAAACCGCCACTTTCAAAGCTCACAACCTTCGCAATTTTGGCGAATGTTTCTTGCTCTTATTTAGAATGTTTAATCACATAGGGACCTAAGAAAGTTGGAAAAAACCTTGTAACTACAATGTCTCTCGTAACGTGGTAAAAAAAGGAATCATCTGACATTAGGAATGCTAAAATTTTATTTACGTTCAAATTAAAAATATATTTTTAAAAAATTGTACTATTTCAAGAACTATATAAGAAATATTTTTAATATCGCAGGACTTCATTAGGCCCCTAAACACATCTGTCATGCCTCAATTAGCAAATCACAATATGCTAAAAAAGTTGTTAACAATAATTAAACGAGAGGATAGCTGGCACTGGATGCTATACCACAATGATTTTCCTTATTTCTAGCCATCTTAATGTAACCATCTCGACCCCACGTTTCGCCCCAACTATTCTTTACCAGCCAATAATCCTGATCAGTTTCTGGGTCAGTACCATAACCAACAATCAGTACACCATGATCTAAGTTTTCCGAACTGCAATCGGGATCGTAGTATATTCCTATAAAAATTATAAGATTTAAAGTAAAAAACTTTAAGTTTTATAATACAAGAATTACCTCATTAATTATTATGGATTAAGTATCCGATTTATAAAATTAAGAATGTTTACAAATGCCATAAATGTATCTGAATAAATTTTTTACAATAGCTATATTAAATGTACATGAATATGTACCTTCACGATAAAGTTGGAAGGATTCACGAGAGGCATCAATAGCAACTGAGATTGGACCTATGGTAGCAACTGCAGCTTTCAATTTTTCCTCATCTCCTTGCGGGATGTCTACAAAACCGACATCTGTAGCGCCATTATTTCTCGGATTATATCTGGAATTTCAAGAATATAATAAGTCATGAGATTCTCTCTATGAAATGTTTTAATCGCCCAAAATAATTTATGCAAACCTGCATTTATCATCCTCTGCTTCATATGGGTAACTTTTCTCAGTATCAAGGCCTCTATTATCTCTGACATATTGGAAAGCATAATCCATTAAACCACCATTGCATCCATTGTTCCCATATTTTCCAGAACAGTCGATTAAGTTTTGTTCGCTCAGTGATACTAAAACACCGCTTTGTCTGAAATGTTGTCCCTCCAAAGATCCAGTCTGCAAGAAAAAAGATAAAGTATTGCCAAAGGTTAACATAATTCAATAATTAAAATAATGATACTATTCGAAAAGGAATTGAGATATTGACAATTTGAAAATTTTAGAATTTAAGATATTAATATTGTTCGAAATTGAATTGAATTAGCATTAAAAAAACATTAAAAACTTACTGTAGAAAATGCCCAGCAAGATCCACAGTGTCCTTGATCCTTAACTGCAGTGACAGCACCATGTTCCCTCCAATCAACCTCTTTTGGTAATACAACATTAGCTGGTGAGATAAATGTTGCTCCTACAGACTTTCCTATATTACTCACTGACTTATTGAAGCCATTCAAAGTATTGACAAATTCATGATGCAACTACAAAAGAAATATGCATTTAATGAGAAATTGCTTGATTCATAATTCAAATAATTTGCGTTTCTCAGAACTTACCATATCTCCATATTTATTCATTCCTAGCTTGTAGGAAACTTCTTTCATCTCATATCTGCGATTGTGTTCAGCAATTTTGCGCTTATTATCCAAGAAAATTTTCATTCTATATCCCTCTTCAATTGGAGATTTATAGGCTTTTTTATGATGCAACTTAAAATAAACAAAATAATATAAATATTTAGTTTGTCATTTAAATTACTAATTGAAATATTAGATTAATGCATTTTACAATGTTATTTTTTATCTATATAAAAAAATCATTAATTTCTTTAATTTTTATAATTAATAATCATTTAGACTTGAGAATTTCTTGTATTATGCCTCAAATCATATTTATAATTTTTAAAGAGATCAAATAATATTCGCCAGTAAACATTTGATAATGACCCATAACATTCAGTTTGTTAAATAAATGATATCTATATCAGTATTAGTATCATAAAGATAATAACTGGATATAGAAGGGTAGATTTTCATTATATATAAACTTTTTAAGTTACTTGATAATGCAAGATATCACGTAATATCACGTTACTACAATAATTTTATTAACAAGTACAATAATTTTATACCTTGAAAATGAACCATTCAGCATCCAAGATTTTGTTAAAAGAAATGGCTTGTCCCGTGGCAAGCACTGCCAGTAATAGCAAAGTCAATGCGCCCTTCATATTTATTCCTTAATTAAATTACCTAAAAATAAGAATTAGCTAGTTAATACAATATATATAACTTTATCTAAAACAAAATAATTTTATATTGCTAATTAAAAATACAAATATACAAAAATTTTGCAACTCTTATTGCTTGTTTAATATATAGTATTATCATATTATAGTGAAGATATTTTTATTGAATTTTATGAGTATTATACTTTTTTATATCTATTGTTATTAAGATTCTTTTATTAAATGATATTTTTGATTGCAGCAATTGTTTTAACATTAAACTATTCAGTAACTCTTCAAAATAAATAAAGATATAATCTAAAAGATTGTAATGGAAAAAGGAAAATATTGTGAATTTGAAGTTAAAATGCTGAGCATTCAACAGAGGTTAAAATGTATGTATAAAAGAAGAAAATAAAAAAACGTCATTAATAGCTTGACAGAGCTTTGTCCTGACACTGCAAATACACGTGACCGAAATTTCGAAAATTGCGCAGAAGAATTTCAGAGGAAGCATTGCGTCAGCGTGACCATCCAATGTTTTTTTGTAACCCAGTTATCACCGAGAAGAGCATCTACGCTCGAAACGACTTTGTTTTTCTGATAAGGAACTAGCATCCGCATAAGAAATGACGCATTTATTCTCACGCAATATGCGTATATGTGCGTAAAAAAACATTTTGAGGTCAATCGAACGAACGCCATTCGCGATTTCAACATTTACTTTTCCTCTCTTACGTTCTCCGAAGAAAAAAATAATCGTTGCACGAGTCCTTCTATATCCTATCTAGGCAATGATAATTTTGACCAATATAACGAATGACTCATATTCCTCGATAATTACAATAGAAATCTATGCTAAACCACGATAATACGATCTAGATTTAGCCTAGACAATGCTCGTTGTTTTGATTTAAAATACTAGAACACGCGAGGAACGTGCACGATCACGTGGGATGACGGATCTCAAGATGTCGACATCTCGTAACGACGCGTCAAACAATGAGCCACTTGCTTCGTTTTAGAATTAGAAAGAATGTTCTTCTTGGCTGAATTGGTTGTATTAGTTCACAGTTTATCTTTCTTTCTTATACTGGAAAAAGAAAGATAAACTCTGAACTAGTGCAGCCAGTTCTGCTAAAAAGAACAGACCTATTGTTATATACATACGTATAACAAGCTTACACGTATTTGTATGTGATTCCGTGTGTATATCCCGAAAGATTTTGCCTCAGTTTCTTTATATTCCTTTTTTTCACATGAATTTTAGATTCTGTTGGCTATTCTTTGAATGTTCAGTCAAAAGAAAATGAATGATGAAATTATTTATTAGTAAGAAGTAAGATTAAAAGTTGATGTTAAAAATATAATATTTTTAGCTTTCTCATAAATCTAAATTTTCGTCTATTGATTTCTTACAATGATGTGATATTCTTTTGTCTACTATTTTGGTATTGGTATTTTTCAAATTCGTCATATGTTTGTAGTCTATATCAGGATATTGCTCAATCTATACGAGGAACAAAATTATGTATAAAATCAAGTATTAGATATATCGCAAATATCGAGTGTTCATTTCATTTTGTTCTTATC